TTCACCTCCTTGGGGAGACCTATTCAATATGTTTTTTCTTCAGTGTGATAACTGGGGGGGTGTGTGTGTGGAGTGCAGGCATGTTAGGATTGTCTCCAACAAAGGTGACTTCTGGTGGTTGCTTTACAACTCATGGGTCTGGTTGTAGTCCTGGGCTGTGAACGTGCTAATGGTTTCCCTATTCTGAATCAGAAGTGACAGTGAAAGTAAGCCTAGGTAGGTCTTTATAGAGGAGATTTTTCTTAATTATTTTGAGATCCTTAAAACTTAAATGATCTGTAAGTAATAAAATGAATCTTCACTGAGTATGTTATGAACCAACCATTAAGAGCAGTAACAAAAAATACTGTTCAGATAACATTGCCACTACAGTATTAATGCTATAGGGGAAAAAACCCCACATTCGGCTAACCTGGAATAAATTCTGCAGTCAAAGTAAAAGGAATATAAAAGGAAATTAGCAAACTTATTCAAAAATAGAAGGCAAAGCATGCAATTTTTTAAAATTTGGTTTTAAATTACATATATGTTGTTGTGTTTAAAGTTTCAAAAATGTTAATCATTGCAGACCCTAACAAAAGGAAAGAAATTATTCATTGCAGTATGTAGAGCTCAGTCAGGGTCCCCCTTGTGTTTTGTAATAAGAAAGCCAAATTGTGTGAGCAGTGCATACTTCATTTAGCTTTTCTGCAATTAAAAAAATAATTGAATAGCTCTTTTATTGCAGCAAGGCAGACAGACTGTAAATGCTTTCAAGGCAAAGCATTTATGTGGTAAGGTAAAGAATCTGTCAAGAGTACAAAGATCATCCTGGAAAATAAAGTATGTTATTTTTCCTGTTTACATAACTCAGTCTACAGACCAACTCACTACTGGAAAACATATTATATAGGAAAAATTATAAAACAATATTTTTAACCTCACTTTTCTGAAATGGAATGCATCTGAAACTGGGGTGGTTTGTTTTTCAGCTTATTATTACGCTTAGCCACATCCCTAATAAAGAACCCATTCCTGAAAGCAGCATAGCTAATTACATTTTATTGTTTTAAGGGTGCAACTGGGATTAAGGGCACTTTCGCAGCATGATGGGTCTGTGTTAATTTGCCGTATGAACCTATGTTCATGTTGAAGCTATGTAAATGTTGTTAAAATTCGCTTTATATGTAGTCCAGCAAAAAACTGTAGCTTAATTTTGCCAAACTCCAATCCTTGGAGAAAGGAATACTAAAATGAGACTGTTTCACTGATGTTTCTAATATCCAGAGATTTGCAAATGTATTCCTGGTGGTGTTTTCATGTTACTTTTAGTTCAGGATGAAGCCTGGTTATTCAATGTACATTTTTATTTTCTGTAGTGTCCTATGGCTTCCTCTTCTTACATTACAATGTTCTTATATTTTTCCCTTCCACCACCCCCATCCCAAAATACTTAAAAAAATCAGTTATGTTTTCATGTTGGATAAGAGCACTCTAAAAAAAGTCATGTTCATATACTTTAGGAACTTTGCCCTTCAGTGATAGTACGTATTTCCTCACATATTTGTACACTCTATTGTATTTGGCGTGTGTTTGTAGTTAAGAATCTTTGATGAACAAAGAGGAGTTATGTCTTCTGAGTAATGTTTTATAAAAGGCTGACAAACATGCAGTCAGAGTTAACATTTCAATACTCCTTTTCTCTTACAACTGAGATATTAAAACATATGTTACTTTCCTTAACTGTTTTTCATTGCTTTGATCAGAAAGAATCTGATACACTACACTATGAAGAACATGGTTGTACTAGCTTTTGAAGATTTCTTTTTTTCTTAAAGCTGCCTTTGCTCATTTTTTTAAATACTTTTTTTTTTTTAAGATAACTAAACAAATTTCTAAGTTATGAAAATGGAAGGGGTTTTTTGGAAACAATAGACAAGCATAGTCAAATATTCCTAAGTATTTGACTAGTCAAACAATTCCTAAACTAATATCCATTTAAACTCATTAGAATATTGACATACATTCAACACCCTTTTTAGGGTATTTTTTAGGATTTTTTTACAGTATCTACTGGACTCCTGTGTGTCAGTATCAAACATTCATAATTTTCCTTAAATTTACCAATTTAGTAGAAGATGCATAAATAGAATTTATGGTGTCAAGCTTGACCTTTCTCTTCTGCAACATAATTTGAAAGTACCTTTTAATCAAAGTAATGTCTATTTTTTCAAGGAAAGATACCAGTTATTTCCTGTTTCTGATGTTATGTATGCAAGGAAAAAATTAAAAACTAGTTAAAAACAGAGAGAAATCCAGTTACTTCTTTCTACCGTTCTAGAATTGTTACCGTGGTTATGATAACTGAGGCATTTCTTTGAGAAAGCCCAAAGAAGATTGAAAAAGCTCTATTTTGTTAAGGATGTGCCTTCTTCAGTCTGAACTTCTTCTGAAGTCTGAACTTCAGTCATGCCTTCTTCTTGCTGAACGGGCCGTTGACTACAGCTGTGCAGAACCACAATTGGGAATGAGACATGAGCACCAGTACTGTAGTTCACTCTAAACTGCCTGACTAAAATCTTAAAACTAAGTGTGCAAGCAGTTCTCGATAGCTGAGCTGCTCATACTGATCTTCTCTGAAAGTGTTAGTGATTATCGATGTCCATAAAGTTACATCACTTTAACTAGATAGCTTTATCTAGTTAAACCTATGGGTACTTAAACTGCATTAACCCTCACTTGCATTGATTTTGCTGAAGTCAGGCTCTAGTCATAAGTTTCCTTCCTAGGCATTTAAGGTTAGCATCAGATGTTTTTGTAGTACAGCTGAAAAAATAACAAAAAAGCCAGGTATGGAAAAAACTTCATCCTAGAGGGTCTATTAATTCGGTAATGTTCTCGTCGTGTAGGAAGTGTCATCTTCATTTTGTCCAATTAGCCTATGGCAGTGTACACGCAAGTCTTTGGCAGTGAGGTGGTTTGCAGGTCTCAAGTCCCAGAATGAACTCACGCTGGCTAGGTCACTGGCTGGGTAAGCACAAAGGACTTTTCCCTTCATGCAGTTGAGACTCAAATAGGAGTAAAGTATATTAAGAATAGGGCTGTCATCTAGCTCTAGAAGACAGGCAGACATGAATGCACGTATGTGTCTGTGTGTGAAAAGTCCTTGAAGCTGGCTGCTCGTTTGTGATACGGCAGGTTTTCTTTTCCTGTTGAAGTCACACAAGAGAAACAGGATTCTTAAATGAGTGGTGGTGGTATGCCAAAATACTGAATTAAACATCATTCTTACAGCTGCAGAAGGTTCGGTTGTGGCTGCTAGAAGCTGTGGAGCAGAAGACCCATTCTTAAGGGTAACACCACTATTTGTGTATTCATCTACAGCAGTCTCATTATATATCTGCAGCAGAATTTCTGTATTGTTGATTTTGCCTGGAGGGTTGGTCTGATATATTTTAATTGTCTAAAATTCGTATCAGCTGTCAGTGAAAAACTTTCAGTACCTCTTAAATGGCAAGTTTTTTGATTGGTGTTTGGTTGGCACCCTCTGCTTGAAAAGATCATTCTTTACTCTTCTCAGAAAGATTTTTGACCCTGGTCAAAACAATGTTCTGCTGTAGGAAAATTTGAGAGCGTAATAAATCCTGGGGTATGTAGGATGTCCTTCATCTAACCTTTACGACACCCACTGTGTTCAAGAATAACCTTCTTTTGTTTGTGCTTGTCCAGTGCTTCTGTGAATAAGCCTACAAAAAAACCTCAAGAGTTCTCCTGTGCTACATCACCCCAGAGATTTGACATACGTAAATTATCACCTATAAGAATATCTGTTCATGATTTCCCTGTAGAAAGAAATGAAGCAAGGCACTGCCTTTAATTATAGTTGCAATTTCTTTTTCACTCTTAAATGCTGTAGCTGTGGCCTTCTGTTAATTATGTCCTTTCTTCCATCTCTCTCGCTTTAATTTTAGACCTATCAAACTGTTGGTTAATCCAGTCAGTCTTTGAATTCATTACCTCTAACTTGTGTACTATCATATGCTGTATTTTCTAATGCAAATGAGTTTGGGTTTTTTTTCTTGAGCTGGACCAAGAAACATTGATTGGTGGTAGGAACATTCCTTAGACACACTATTTAACTTATGCCTCTGTTTAGATGTTTTTCTTGATATGGATATTGGACTTCTGAGTCGGTTTGCTAGTGAAATTTTGCTTAGCAAATTCTCCAATAATAAGCCTGGTAAATAGCAAGGCAAAGTTAACTTTGGGCACAAGGAATCCTTATAAAATCAAGAAAAAAACTTTTTGTTCTTTCCTGGGAGTTTGTCTGTAGGTGTGTGTTGTCTTACGCTGCATTTTTGCCTGTTGGCAGCATTTCAGAAAGCTGTGTGCATAGATTTCTTTTCCGGCAGCACACTGCTGTGCGCTTGTTAAAATGGAAATAGAAATTGTTTCTATGACTGTTGTACTCTGAGCATGGCAGCCAGTGTGAAGGCCCAGGGGAGTGTGATTAGCTGAGGACAGATTGGAGGAGAGAAGTGGCTGAAGTGGAGGATCCAGCAGCAGGAGAAAGCTGACCTGCGGGCCAGCACCCTTATGCAGGTGCGCTTGTTGGAGCTGAAGGGGTTGCTGTGATCAGCTGCTGCTGCTCCTCAGCTCTCTGCTAGAAGTTATTTCCCCCTCAGGTCTGCTAGATGAGCCTTTTGTAAGACTGTTACTTAAGCCTCATGTTCACAGTTAGTATAATAGCCTTTTGTTAGCCTTTCTCATTTAACTCAAGTCAAGGAGTGACCACCCATGCAGGTAAGTCAATAAATCTGAAGGGGGTTGATGGCAAGCTGTTCCCAGCGGTCTGGGTGAAATAACCTCTCTAGCAGGCACAGCAGGAACCAGCAGATGTGTTGGAGGAGTAATGGCCTAGTGTCTTACCACCATTCAGTAGCAACTTCTGACTTTCTGCCTATATCTGTGTGTGAAAACTACATTATCAGTATTCTAAATATATTGGTGTTTGTTCGATAATGGAAAATGAATTGAAACATCGAGACTACTTGCCAGTATGGAAGACCAATGCAACAGGAAAAAACTTTTTTTTTTCTTTAAAGAAGGAAAAATGTTGGGTAGGAGGATAAAGCACCTCTTTTAGAAGAAGGAAGTGATAAAAGAAATTCATTTTCTTTCCAAAAAAAAAAAAAAAAAAAACCCAAACAAAAAATCCCCAAATACCCAGTAGACAGGCCATGATCAGGTAACCTTTAACAAGATACTGGTGTATTTCTACAGTGTTGGGAAGGCAGTTTGGGGTTTTTGCATCTGTAGGACACAAAATGATAACTAAGTACATCCTTGCATAGCTTATTATCTGTGTTAATCTGAAGCCTACAAAAATCGATAATGTTACCTTTGTTTTGTAACATAACTGTAGTGTCAAAGGGGAGAAGCAATTTTTCTGGATGGATTAAAAAACTATTGAAAATGAAGATTACATTAATGAAAGACTAATAAGAATTGAATAGTTAGGTTGGATTTATGCAATTGTGCTAAGCATAGAGGAGCCTTTAATAAACACTTGCTTTGTTTTTCTTTTTTTTTTTTTTTTTTTTTGACCCTTCTAATTCTTGTTATTTTGTGACTTTCAGAAATCCTGCCAGAAACCTGTGGACAAATACATTGAGTATGATCCTGTTATCATCTTGATTAATGCTATTTTATGTAAAGCACAAGCATACAGGCACATTCTTTTCAATACAAAGATAAATGTAAGTTGCTTCACCCCTACCCTGTGACTTTTTTTTCGGTTAAAGATACAGTTAGGTTTGGTAAGTTGACTGTAATAGTTGTAAAATTTTAAGAACTGTTCTTCTGCCTTTCCATAGGTTCCATCAAGCTGCATCGGTTTTGTTCTTGAACAGGTTAAGGGTCTAATATCATGAGTAGAACACATGAAATCTCAAACTCCAGCTATTACTAAGAAAGTTACTGTCTCCCCAGTAGTGATACCACAATACCAGCAAATACAGCAGTCATCCTACATGTTAAAGAGAGTCCTAATTTGACTCATTGGAAGAGACAGGTCTGATTTCAAGTTCATTTCCAACTTAAATTTCTGTTGGAAACAGTTCTTTTTGAAACGAGCTATAGTAGTATAACATACCACATTAACAATACTATGCCAATTAAACTTACTGTACAAATTTCTCACAAGTTTCCTCCTGAGTAATTAACCATGTCCTCAAAACTATAGCAAAAGATAGCGGCTTTCACATGAAGCATTGTTGATGCAGAGTTACGTAGTCAGCTTAGTTGTGCTGGCCCAGGTGGAGTGTAGGGGTGTAGCTTTTCTGACAGAATTGCATATTTTACTTTAAGGATTGATTTCCCAGGAGAGGGAAGCTAATCTAGAGCAAACTATCCAAGCTTAAGTGTATGCTGTGTTCACGTTGATACCTCTTGGCCAGTCCAGTGTTAAAGAATGTAGGTAGATACTCACCTCGTCTTTCAAGCATAAATCTGACTAAAGGTTTTTAATGAAATCAGTGCTTCTAGAGACTGGTAATGATGTTTTCCATGAGGCTTCTGGAAAGAACTATTCCATCTGTGGAAATCTCGTCTACTCAAATAAATTGAGTTGAATTTTAAACTGGTTTAGCCAGTGCATGTGAGTGCAATTGGCATAACTAGTCTCTAATGGAAGAAGTAGAATCCACGCACAGAAATTATTGGTTTATTTAAATCTGTATAAAATCAGAATTGCCCCCACATACACACTGGCTTACAGACTGTTTAATGTGGAAACGTGCTAACTGTGGACCCTCATGACATCATTTTTGCAGTCACTTCAGAGGATGCATTTAAGTTTTGTTTAGTTACATTGCTCCATTTATTTTTGGTCCTTCACCCTTATCTGAACTAAGAAATGTTTTTGGTATAACTACACTACCAGTTTCTTCTAATGGAGATTGTCCCAGGGAAAAACAGAAACAAGGCTATTGAAACCAGTTCACTGAAGGGAATAGTTTCCCTGAAATGAAAATTTTTGATGATATAGTACTGCTAGCTATGGCACAATTTTGTTTCTATATTACTAACTGAAACACCCTTCCCAATTAAAAAAAAGTATAGAGCAGGCTTTACAAACTACAGTTAAATGCTTTCTTTTGTATGGAACTGTTCATACACTTTCCTACCTCTTCTAATTGGCTTATGGTATTAATTTATGTTAAAAAGATAATGTGCTAAACTAGTGGCTCAACAGAAGTAATTTGCTTATACTTCTAAACAAAAATAATAAATGTACAGAGCTTGTTTGTGGAGATGTAGAAATGTATTTTAAATACCAATTTAATACTAATACTTTAATTTATGCTGATTTAATACTAATGTTTTCATTTTTCTTTCATTTACCAGATTCATGGGAAGCTCTGCGTATTTTGTTTGCTCTGTGAAGCTTATCTCAGGTGGTTGCAACTACAGGATTCAAGCCAAAATACAGATCCTGATGACTTAATTAGATATGCCAAGGAATGGGATTTTTATAGAATGTTTGGTATTGCTTCTTTGGGTAAGATGGATGATTAGTTCATGTAACTATTTACTCTTTAAGCACTGAATAACTCCATGAGTCTTTCATCAAGCTTGTATTACAAAAATTAATACAAAATGGATGTCATGTCCTGCCCAGTATGGTTAAATGATTATTCACATTCTCATTTGCCTTCATTTAATGCAAATGCATATTTTGATCCTGATTACAGTTCAGACTGATATGATAACATTACATACCTAAATACTGAAAAGTGGCAATATTTACAAATCTTCATTTGAATCTGTTTACATAGTTTTGAAGACCAGTGTGGAGCTCAGCCTTATTCCATATTTCATGTTGACTCCAAGGTTTATTATTCATTAAGGTGATGCAACATTAAGGATGATCCTTACAAAAGTAAATAATTGGGAAAAGCTGTATCTGTTTGTTTTTTTGTGGGGTTTTTTGTTTTGGTTTGGTTTTTTACATGAATACACAAAGATACAGAGCAGTGTCACCGTTGGTATAGAGTAAATACTTCTGTGCTGCAAGACTAAATTTGAAGGCGGGGAGGGTTTTTGTTTTATTTTGGGTAATACTTTTATTCTCTAATTTTTTTCTGGTGATAGAGTTTAAATCAAGCCCACAGACTAAAACTAGTATTTCCCTTAGTCATTCAGAGTTTAACTTCAGTCATTTATTGTCTTGTGTTGCTCTAAGGAAGCTTTCATAACAGGTCAGTAAAAATGTTGGAACTCATTTTTTCAGTAGTAATTCATCTATTACAGCTGTCATGAGAGTTGCTTTGACATCTGCATTAATACCAGTGTTATGCAGGGACGTGGTGTCAAAAAAAGTCTTAATAGCTCCGTGATATTTCACCTTAGTGTGTTCTTTCTCATGCTGGATGGAAAGGGTTCACTGCTGGTGACCTTTTCAAAACAGACAAGTATTTATTTTGTTTTACAGACTAACAGGCAGTTGAAAAAAAAAAAAACCCTCTCCTTTTGTTAAAAAGGAAAAGTAAAGGAAATTCGTATGCTAAACTTCCTGTGCTGTACAGTGTCAGAAATTACGAGTATGACAATACTACAGACAGAATTCTGTGATAGAGTTATGTCCTGGTTTTGGCTGGGATAGAGTTAATTTTCTTC